CTCTCTCCTTCCTCCCCGAGCTTCTTCCGGGCTCTTTAGACCAGTCTAAATTGCCCATATATGGTTAAGCTGCTTCCCAACTCCCCTTACAACCATTAACAGCCCCCCCCCCTTAGTTACAAGTGGCAGAAACAAATCAATCCAACTCCCAAGGAATGCAATACAATGGAAAACAACAACAGTTGGGTGATGCAGGTTCTGACAGATGGATTGTTCTGTCCAGGCTATGATTAACATGGCCTCTGATTGACAGATTCCCCTTCTTCTTTTTCCCTCCCATCCATGCCAAGAAATCATATGCCAATTGCTTTCCTTTCAGTGGGCAGGCCTTTTGAGGACTGGTAAAGGAGGGAAAAAGCAGTTTTACAGTCTTTCCTGTCACTTGGGCTAGAAGGGAAAATTTGACAGAACTCTTGTCAATTTCACCCAGCTGGAAAAATCACCAAGGGATGCCACTAGCTTTTCACTGTTCAACCAGTGCATCTGTTAAAAAAAAAAAAAAGCACAAAAATGGAAAAGATCCAGCCTTTCATGGCAGGTAGCTAGCAGCCCAATACAAAATGGGTGGAGGGAGAAAAATGCCATTTTTGACACAAAGCAAGAAAAGCTGGGTGGGGTCACCTTCCCTACAGATACCATCCATTCCTGCCCTCCAAAAATGGTAGCTGACCCATTCTCCCACAGTGGCAAACAGGAAATGCATATCAGCCTTCTGTGCTGGCTGGGGAATTCTGGGAGTTGAAGTCCATGCAGCTGAAAGTTGTCAAGGTTGGGAAACACTGATCTAGACATTTTCAATTTTAATTCCCATCAGCCCCAGCCATCAAAGGATTGCTGGGCATCTGTCAGCCTTCCCAGGTAGACCAGACAGGCCATATGTCCAGATGAGCTGATTCTACTTTATTGTAAGGCTATATTAACAGAATCTTGCAAGTCTGAAAATACAATCCTCCCATTATCACCTTTACAGCCTAATAACGTAGGGAGGGTTCCTTGTGAGCTTGCTCCACTCACTATGCAGCTGTGGGCTATGCTCCCTCTTATCTAACCATTCCCTAGGCAGCATCTCTTCGCCTGGTCTCCCAAGGTTATTCCCACATACTATTACAGCACCATAGTGCAAAACATTTGAGGAGTGCCAGTGTTCTTGTATGTGGTGCTCAGCCAAATAAGCAAGTTCTTCCTTCAACACAGAGGCTGTATTCACATGACCCTTGCCGATAATTATCTGGACCAATAGTTTGAATACCTGATACACTGAACCATAATTTCACCACAGCCTGTATTTGTACAGTTCCGCAGGCTAAAATGCAGCCAGCTCATTTGTAGCTGAGTGTACCATGCCAACACAACCAGGGTGGAAAGGATACATATTTAAGGCAGAGATAATGGGAGGTGAATCTTCATGATGATTTTGCTTCTTTCATTTGACATGGTAACTGCAGATAGCCAGAGCATGCAAAATGTGGGATTTCAGCTCTGTTGGTTTACTGGCCAAGGGAGGGGGGCAGCATAAAGTGTGGAAGCAGCAGCATGGCAATGGCTCCCCAAACCATCTACCAGGCCATGGGGATGGGATGGAGGGAAGAAAGTGTGCCGATTCAACAATCAGACAACATCGATGGAGATACAGACTTCAGTGCTGTTGGACCAAGTGTTTTCTTCACAAAGTAAATTCAACTGCTATAATGAGGCAATGAAACTCAAGGTCAGGAGGCTCCTCGGATTTCATAAGACCAACATCACAGAACCTATCCCTCTTGAGCATTGTGAGAATATACTGCAGCTTACTTGACACTAAGACTTAAACTATCTGCAGCCAGATATGCTGAATTAAATGTTCTTTCACAAGATTGTAAATCTTTAAATCCCAGGACTTACTTTTAAGGCATGAACTCCATTGAACAAAGCACTACTTGCAAACCAATATTCGTTGGATAGTACTGCAAGTTTATGCTTTAGGAAATTTCCTTCAGGAACTCCTGAATCAGAACGAACCACTGGTTCATTCTGTCTATCCATCTGCCTATCTGTTGTTAATAGTCTTACATGACATATGATGTCTCCCTTTTCTGTGTCTTTGATCTATTATTGTATAGCAAATAATTTTTTAAATATATTACTGTTATGGGTTTATAGTTGGTCCACATAAATCACAAGATCACTACTAATATATAAACATGCACATGCAACTCTTAGGACTGTATTTGTAACGTGCATGCACATCATGCATCAAGTGTAATCCTCAAAAGCTTATGAAATAATACATTTGTTATCTTTAAAATGCCACAAGTCTCTTTGAGCCTTCTTTCACCGCTGGGTAACGTGCTATCCTTGAGTTGGCACAAAACTATACTAGCATGAAATGTGTTCCCAATGCCAATTCTTCTCCTGTCTCTATTGCTTCTTTCCAAACACTGCAGTCACTCCAAGATAATGGGTAACATAGCCTAGAGAGTTTAAAACCTTGAGGCTGATCTTGGGAGACATCAGAAATAAAGAAGAAAATACTATTACTTTGACACCAATCAAGCAAAGAATGACTTAAGGCTGTCTCACTCATGGGCTGGCTATGAGATGAAGGCAACATCATCCAGACATGAGAAAAAAATGATATTGCTGGAGCATATCCGTGCTATGCGTAGCCACAAGTAGCGAAGGACCGTGTTGCATTGGCTGCAAAACACTAATATACCTTCTTCCAGAAATCTACTTTTGACTGTTTTTGACTTTAGGAATTTTGCAAGTAGAGTGCAATACCACTAAATATTTGATTAAAGCCAGCTGATAATCAGTAACAGGGGCTCATTCCAAAGGGAGGGGGCTAGGATGGCTGAAGGTGGCATCAATAATGGGCAGAGATGATTACTATTTCTTTGTCAACTACACAAGGGGAGTTTGGTCTGTGTTAGGACTGGTCCAAAAGGGAGGCAGAAAACTAAATATTCTCTGCAGGAAGTCCTTGTTTAGCTATCGGTTTCCTTAAAACTTTAATGGAGAATCATCTGTTGAAATGAACTACCATCTTAAACTAAGCCTATGTATATATACAAATGAATCTTACATTACTGAAATGTTGCAAGACTCCTTAGACTTCCAGTCTGGGCAATTGAACTCAAGGGGAATGGTGTACATGTAAAACCTATCACTGATTCAAAGTTGGGTCCATGTGAATAATATTTAGTGGGATGCATGAACGTAAAGGGAATACATCCAGTGTCATTTTAGATCAATTTTAAAACAATTCAGTGCCCAACTAAAATGAATAAAATAAAAGCATATTGAAATACAATCTGATATAGTGGAAATGCCAACATAAATAGCCTTTAAACAGTAGTAACAGTAGAGTAGATTAAGTTGTTAATCCACAGCACTGGATGGACTTAACAAGTGGCAGTTGCTGAAAGTGACTATTTAAAATCTGTTAAACTTTCAGAAGCCCTAATTTTGAGCTGAACAAAGAGTTGTGAAGTATTTTACAGAGGTAATATCCTTCACAAATTATTGGCAACAATATTTGATGCATGCTATCACCCAGGCCAATGAATATTTTTTTAAAGAAAAACGAAACACTTAATTTTGTGGGATTGAAAAATTAACCATTTTACCTAGATTATAGCTTAATTTAGCAGCCACATCAGAAAGTCTAGCACAGAATTTTCAGTGCAATCTGACAAACCCATGACAAATCTATTGGTCATACTGATAAGAAAACCAACCCTGTAGAACAAATGCAAAATAAATTACAATTCACGTTCAGTATAGACATATTAGGTCAAATGCATCCTTATTTGAAGCTCATGTAGTTCCAACTTTAATTTTAAAAGGTTAGATTTCAGGTTTTAAAAGCTCAGAGGTCAAGTACCTGTGAAATTCCTCATATGGTTCCTCCTTTCCAGTGTGCTATTTGAAGTTTTGTTATCCAGAGTTATAAAATAATAGCAAAGAAGAGGAAAGGAATTTGAGTTATCTAACATTTTCTCTTGTACTTACCAGCTGTCTCACCCATGGTATTTCTTCAGCTTTACTCCTGCAAGTTTCACAAGAGGCAGCAGGAGTTGTAACAGGTTTGGTGTTATTTTTGAATGGCCTTTCTCCTTTTATCAGATCTGCTGGGGTGTCACAGTGTACACTGCAGGTGGGTGGGGAAGGAATCAAGGCACTGAAACATAAGGCCGACTTTAAAACTTTACACTGTACGTTAAAAATGATTAAGGAGATTACATAAAAACCATTTAGATAGATGGCTCTTCTGAAATAAAAAAATGTGTTTATTTTCGTTCAGAAGAGGAAACTATTACATGAAAAAGATGTAGAGTGGAATGTACTAATCCCTATTAAATTACTCATGTCAGAAATCCAGTTTATTCCTTAGAGAAACATAGTTTCTCCCACAGATCAAAGATTTTGCAAAGGCACTTCTCACTGTGCAGGCCACATCCGTAGCACCTTTCTGCAACTTTTTAAAGCAGCCACATTTTCCCCCCAAGAACACATGGCTTGTGTGTGTGTGTGTGTGTATGTGTGTGCGCACATGCACTTTTTTGGAATCTGAGGTTTGCATAGCCTGACTCACTCAGATTCTTAGTTTGCATACTATGTATTGCTATGAATTTCAGTGGATGGTAGGATGGAGAACCTGGATATTTTTCTTTCTTTTTTCCCTTTTATTATATTGTTATAAGTCTTGATATATTAGATTGTTTCAATGCAGTGATATTTATATAAAATGAT